ACTAAGTCAGTCGGTTTTCTACCTTCGGAGGTTGATATATGAGTGCCGTCCTGTTGGAAGGAAACAAGAGCTACATACTCTGATTGCCACATAGAAGCTGTTGATTCTGTATTATAAAAATAAGATACTCCTGGCTTACGGCAGGAAAATGGAGTTCAACACCCATTATTAACTTCCAGAAAATCGGGGCCCAGGAAGTGTAAGGAAGACCGATATTCCAGCGATACAATTCTTCCGTTTCCTGCTTGTTTTATTTTAATTTGGAAATAATTAATGGTACTGTCATTTAGATGATGGCGATGGATCCAGTGATTCGTACAGAAAATTGCTCGAATCGATATCTGAGACAATAAGCAACGAGTTGAAAAATCGCCATTACAGTTCCACTCAGGTAAAGGAACTGAAGGACACGCTGGTAAAGGTGAACACGCTAAAGGACTCAAAGGTGGAAGATCGTTCGCTGTCAGAACAGCTTTGGCAGACGCTGAACACAGTGATAAAGCAGAACTTCAGCTTCAACAGCATTCTCCAGCAGCTGGCAGCGAGACTCAGAGATAAGCTGATCGGTTCTCTGCCTATAATAGGCAAGGTCATTCGACGAGATGGCCGACAACGACGCTGGGACAAGAACTTGGTTAACTTTTAGAAATTTGTTCTTTCGTCGTATGAAGTTCAACTGTTTTTATGCCAAGTCATGTGACGAATTTGCGTTACTCAAACCTTGTAACTATTAATAGATGGTCCATTTAAGCCGTTGACGGAAGCGTGCCGTTTCACACAAAACACTTAACCATTGGTGTACCGCGTAAGCAAAACTGAGGATGGATTTCTTTCTCGAGACTGGACGGTGACGACAAAAATCAGAACTCAATAAAATAGACAGAACTGATACAGAAGCCCAACTGCACATCGCGTTAAACTCAAAAGTAAGGTGGGTAAAATTTCATTCTCAATGAGCAAATCTTCACTCACCAACACATTTTTCGTTTGCCAATTCCATCTTTCTTAGATTCATAAATATAGATATTCAATGAAGTGAATATGATTTACTAAAATTCAGTAGTTACGTTTTCACACTGGATGCATCAGGACACAGTCGTGTCTGGAGCTTTCCCTAAATTACATAAGTAGCATTGGAACTGTAGAGTAAGTCCTTTTTGATAGCACGATATCTGTCTTCTAATATTTTTCATAAGATAGGAAAAATGGCAAACTGTAATAAGCTAATAGTATTGAAATTAGTGTTGGCTTACTTTTTCAATCAGAACATCTGTCTCACGACAGTGTTTTCATTGGATAATTAGCCTTCTTCGATCCGCTGCCGGATGAAGGCTCTTAAAAAGTTTGCCATAAAAGACAATACTTATTGCCCGTTAGATGATCATTGACTGAAACCCCAAATCATTTTTACGGCTCATAGGCTGGTTCGATAGCGCACACATCTTCATTACAGTAATCGCACCAAAACTTTCAGATCTTCGACTATACCCTTCGCTCTAATGAATTTGAACAATAACTGAGTTTTCAACTCACTTGAAATTCTCAGTGATTAGGGCAAGCGACTCGAGTTGGTGCCGTTTGCTGTCATCATTATCTTAAGCTGTTTGCAGGCCTCGATTGATGCATCCCATGACTGCTGCATTTTTAGCATTTAAACGAGAAAGGGATACGAAAGGGTGCAGTTACGTTTCCGTACAAATAGCACACTTCCTTAAAGGGTGATTTTTCCCTCTCTTGTTCATTCAAGCTGTATACATTGTTACAGTACCTTCAGTTTCGGGGCTGGGATGAAGGGCCTATGCTCAGCCCATTTTTCTAGTGTGACCATCCTCCTAATGCAAATTTATGCGTCTACTAAATGTACACGTGTTCGAAAGTGAATGAGGTCATTCTGTGTATGGTACTAAAATTTAAAGCTCATTATACTCACACACACGCACGCACACGCAGAGCTGTTATATGCTAATCAACCATTGTCATACGTACCTTTGTACAACAACGCCTGCATGTTGTTTAGCAGCAGTGAACTGGTTAAAAGAAATTACAGGCGAGCCTTCCTGGAAAATGATATTCGTACACAAGCAAAATCACTGAACCGTCTATCGAAAGCAATGAACATACTTTCGTATTATACAATATAACAGCATAACGTATTTTCATATTTAACTCAAACTGGAGAGCGTAACCGAGTTACTAAAACTGGTTGTACCTCCATGATGTATACCCCCCCCCCACCTATACTGGCAAGGATTCTACGTAACTCTTGACTTTCTGAGCTTTGAGGAAGAGGCCGGCTTTGGCAACTCTGTTGCATACGGAAGCCTTCAAATAACAAACAGATATCGCGTTACTCACACGGGCGATATTATCTCGCTACTTTAAGTTAACACGATAACTAGCTATATGTCTTGAAAGGCGCTTACCATTCAGAAAGAAACATCATCTTTGCCATGGTCAAAACCATTTCAGATTAAAAGATCGGAAACTGCAAAAGAGACTGCACAACTCCCTGGTGAATTTTACAGTTGACGGAACCACTCAGATAGCTCCGCTTCAAGCGTAATGGCACACAAGGTTTTTTCATGCATCACTTAGGAAATGAAAGTGATATACTCATGTATCCCATAGTGCTTTAAGATTTTGCTCATTGCTGGATGGTGTACCGAATCAAATGATCGTCTAATGACAGTGTGGACTCAATCTAAGACAATTGGAATGACAGACATTACTAAGTGAATCACGCAAAGCGAAATCTCAGAAGAGAAGTAGTACCTTCGGAAAAATGCTTTCCATATATTGTTTCCTTAAGCTGTTCCAAGGTGATTACTGAGAATGACTTTCTAAACTTGATACCAGCGATATCACAGGAGTTGAAGCTATTTGTAACATGTCCTCCGGCAATGGAGTCACAATACCTTCTCCTTTTCATTGTCCAAAGAAGGGTTTGCGGTTTTGCTCTCCGTGCATGGTTAAAGAGAGATATGGGGCGTTTTACTCTATAGGCTTACTTCACATCGGATTTAACAGTATGTAGACAATTCCAGTTTTTACAGATGAATTTGCTGTGTGGTTTTATGTTTGAACGGGATTAAAGGTTGGAAAATGAAAATCTGGACATCTGAGTTTCATGAGTTACTAGAAGTACTAATTTGGTCTTTTGAGGCTTTTAGAATCTTTTCCTGATGTAGTAATGGTTCGCTCCTAATATTGTGAGTCAATGTGGGGCGAGTGTCCGTTCTCCCAATTACTGATGCACACATATTCTGCAAGCTTTTCATTACGACTGTTTGCTGATTCTCTCCTCTAGTAGAGATTTCTCCGTAACTTTAGTAACTGCAGTTAACCGCGAACAAACGAAATGGTAATGTATCGTTTTAGATGATACAAGGGCGCATAGAAAGCACTCATTCTTAGCCTGATTCCTGTGTACTCTAGAAGAGAAGGTACTCTCCATGCTTTGAAGTCCTCATAAGCTCTTAGCACTATCCGTTGAGGGGTTTTAGAGAGCACTATGGTTTTTTTCAATGTCGTTATATTAGATCAACTGTTCAGTTGAAAGATAAATTTATGCGTTTCATCTGAACTACGCTGGTAAAACTAATTTTATTAAACACTCAGATTCTACCTAACGCAGATGAGACGATTGAGGCGAATTTAGACACCCATACTGGCAACCCATGCGGATGACGGAATTAGTTTTAAACTTCTGCAAAAGTGCGATGGGGCGCCATTGCACATTACGTTAAGAGTCAAGGCTCTAACTTCGGAGGTGCCTGGTTCGAATCCAAAAAGGAAAACGTTTCTCTAAATCACTAATGCCCTTGAGCATCGTCGCATGTTGCTTTCGACTAGCCAACCGAAAGAAAGAATAGCAAGCTGTTAACTTACGAAAAACAGGGACTACATGGTGTTCTGGAATAGTAGTATCAGAAGGGGTGGGAAAATGTTATCTAATGCGAGCGCCTTTTAGGGCAACAGTTTTCCTTCATCCGGATGATCGACAAGTGTCGAAATTCCAGTTGTTGTAGTAAAGGTCCCGATGACCCCTAAATTACTTGCCAGGCAGAGGCACAGCGGATATCTGGGGATATAATTCGTTTGATCGATTTCACAATAATGGCGTACATCTTGCAATATGGTCATTCAACGGGCCTTGGCGTTCAAATTGTCTATGATAGCCCTGAGGTAGTGCCTCGGCGAACCGCTTCCAGCTGAACTCAAGTCGTCATAAAACGCATTTTCAGCGCCGTCACCTGATACAACAACTGCGTTCAGTTTCATGTATGACGAAAGATCACCCTTCAGACATCTGTTTGAAAGACATAGCTGTATATTTTATCCTAGGAGATGAGGGAAGAACTGCTCTAGCAGTAAACAGCCTGCTTTTTCCTGATCACTAAATATCTCAGGTGAAGCTTTCCGTTTCTGCAGATGCAAACTACTAGTCTCTCTACCGCTACACCGTCCAACTGTTGTCATTCATTTTCTCTTGACAGATTGGTGCTCTGCCAAACACGTGAACTTCCATTGCACGTTCACGCAAGGAACGCACTGAATTTAATGTCACTGCCTTCCATAAGTTATGAGAACTGAATAAAATACGTCACCGTTGGTTTCTGTGGCCTCTTCTCAGGCAATTTGCACCCCTCGTCAATTCTCATATGATGCTCACTGACGCATTTAGACATTCTTTTTCCGGTACGGTATAGTATTGCTGCTAACTCACTGTACCGTTGTGAAATCTGTTCACTGGATGAACGTCTTGCTGATATTTGGTGCTGGTTCAAAATGTATCAGGCTTAGAGCAATTAATAAATTGCATTCACATGAGCATGAGTGATAAGTGATTTCTAGGTTTACACCAGAATTTTACGAATGTAGTAATTATGGAGGAAGGTGCATCGGACAGCATTGTCGTCCAGACTGTACCGTTCATGAGATAAACAACAAGTTGAAACCTGAATGGCGAAATGATGATGAGCAATCAAAAGAAATTATTTAACAGAAAACTCTAAATTCCCATCGAACTTATAATCAGCCCTAGAAAAATGAATATTGAGGTATTGTAATCAAAGCGCGGTGAATTTCTGTTGTTGCTTCATTCTGGGTGTCGTTGCTGTCTGTGAACTGAACTTCGTCCGCTTAGGCATTCATCTAAACGCTTCGCACGACGGACGGTTTGCACTGGGGAAGCAATGAGAAGTTGCTGGCTCAAGCATCATTTCCCCTGCGTTTTTGTTGTAGAAATTGCTATGTGTTGTTTTGATATCCTACATTCACTAACAAAATGTGTAGCGAAATAAATGTTCATGGTGAAAGAGCATAAATTGTACTGAACTAGTATTTTTGCAGAGCAGTGAACAAGTAGGCAACAGTTAAATTCAATTTTTTCATTACTTACCTCACACGAAGAGGTGATCCAAAGAATAATTATTCACTTGATTCAGGTGTTTAAGGAAAACTACAGAAATATGAACAAATAGAGAAACGGATCAGTCAACGTTTCCACTGTACTTGTTTTCAGTGAAGTAGGTAGGAGTAGTTGTTTGACATAACGAAGATTGTTGTACCCAAAGAATGAAGTCTATTGCCGATCAATATACAGCAGTACAATCTTTGACACATTACAGAACTTGCAATTTCGTA